GGGAAGGGACCCTCTGATGACTGTGTCAGTGTTGCTGCTGAGGCTGATAATGAAGATGCTGATATGGTGATGGATTCCAGAAGTGAAGACGGTGGTATGGCTCCTGTGGTGGAGATTAGCAGCGCTGTTGATGAGGAACACACCTGTGAGAATCTCGAAGTTAGTTTGACTGCTGAGTCATTAACTGATGATGATGATGATGAGGATGATGTTAGCGATGATGATGATAGTGAAGAAGGAAACTACGCGGAAGGTATTTGGAGTCAGACAGACGTCATTTTGAGTGATGAGAGGCCGAACGTTTGTGGTTCTCCTGTATACGGCGATGTTTTTCCTCTCCAAGGTATGACAGTCCAGCCAAAAATGGAGAGTGAAAAGATGGGGGATGAGAGACTTGATTCGGGTAGGTAGAGTGGTGGAAAGGGGCGCGATTGTCTAAAAAAAGGGTGGGAGACTGTGGTGTGAAGAAAAAGAAAAAGCAGAAACACAAAAAAGTTAAGAAAAATTTAGAATGAATTTTGTTTTCTTGGTTTTTCTTATGTTTACGTGTTTGTCTTTAAATATAAATGGTTTGAGAGATGTAGTCAAGATAAGGAATGTTTTTGAATATTGCAAATATAACCATTTTGATGTAATATTGCTACAAGAAACATTCTGGGATGATAATTTTGTTAATCAAATTAACCATTTGTGGGCAGGTAAGATTATTTCTAACAATAGCAATGACCACAGAAAAGGTGTTGCTATTTTGATATCAAACAATCTGAAAGATAGTTTAATTGAATTTGACGGTTATGGTGGGAGAGTCTTGCGAATAAAAATTGAAATAGAAGATATGAAATGGAATATTGTTAATATTTATGCGCCTAATATTGTGAGTGACAGAAAAGTATTTTTTGATCAGTTAAAAGATTGGCTAGTGCCTTTTACAGAGAACCTGATTACAGGGGGTGATTTCAATACAACCTTATCTACACTTGACCGTACTGGTGCTACGACACACCAGGTAAATCCCAGTGTGACTGCATTGAACAGTATAATGTTTACATGTGACGTTTACGATATTTGGCGAAAAAGAAACAGAAATTGCGCTATTTTTTCTCGTAAGATGATTAGTAATGGTAAATTATCACAAAGCCGTATAGACTACTTCTTAATTTCAAAAGGACTAGGTCCTTATGTACAGAACATTTACTACAATGATACATCTTTCAGTGATCATTGTTTTGTAGTCATGAAAGTAGACTGTGCTTTAGGAAGTAAAGGTCCTGGTATTTGGATTTTTAATAATTCAGATCTATTAGAGGATGATTTTAATAACAAAATCAGATATATTATTACAGAGGCCAGAACGAACTTGTGATTTGTATATCAGTGAACCCAAAGTCTGGTGGGACAATTTGAAATACAAAATTAAAAAGTTTTCTCAGGTCTATGGTAAAGACCGGAGTAAACGACGTAATGCTGAATTTTATAGAATTCAAAATAAGTTACAAGCGTTTTCTTGTGATATTGCTAATGGAAAAAAGTTTGATTGTGATAAGTATGAAGCGTTACGGCATAGTTTAGAAAAGTTTGAAGGCGAAAAATGTAATGGGGCAGTTTTAAGGTCAAAGGCTAAATGGGCTGTAGATGGAGACAAATGTACTGGTTACTTTTTAAGGTTAGAGAAATATAGACAAGGCTGTAATGCGATTAAAAAACTACAAAGTATAAATGGTAAAGTTGTAAGTAGTGAAGATGAGTTATCTCATGAAATATTTAATTTCCATAGTGAGTTGTATAATTGTACCAACACATCTGATGATGATATTGATCATCTTTTGTCCTATATTGATACAACAGTGACCGATGAAGATCGTGATAAGTGTGACGCATCTATCACTGTTGATGAAATTAAAGAAGCATTGTTTGGTATGTCTAAAAACAAAAGTCCTGGTTTAGACGGACTTACTGTTGAGTTTTATTGTCATTTTTTTGAGGATTTGCGTTTTGTATTTCCTCGTGTTGTTCATAGTATCTGGGAAGATAAAGAACTTTCCAGAACTATGAAACAAGGTGTTATAAATCTTGTCTATAAAAAGAAGGGTGATAAATCTTTGTTAAAACATTGGCGCCCAATTAGTCTCCTAAATGTAGACTATAAAATACTAGCCAGAGTTATGTCCAATAGACTTAAATCAGTCTTACCCTCTATTGTTTCAAGATTTCAGTCATGCTGTGTACCTGGTAGAGACATCTCTGACACTATTTTTAGTGTCCGAGATATTATTGATGTTATTGATCAGGAGAATTCTGAGGGTTACATACTTAAAATAGACCAACAGAAAGCTTTTGACCGTGTTTCACATTCATATTTGTTCAAAGTTTTACAGAAATTTGGTTTTGGGGAAAATTTTATTAATTGGGTTAAGATTTTTTATTCTAAAATCTCTAGCTGTGTTAAGTATAATGGGAATCTTACAAAGTTTTTTCCTGTGCACAATTCAGTTAGACAGGG